TAGGAAGAAGATAGCTGTTCGATATATCCAAGATGCCAACTCCAATGCACAGGCAACTACGTCGCTTGCAAATTCGTTGCCTAAGAAAGGGATTCTTCTTGCACCAGCTAAGTACCACCATACTTTGTACCTATAATGAGTTTTAGAGATTTAATTATTAAATTTTTGTTATCAATATTGATATAGGTATAGGAAAGAGGACCCTTTAAAATTATTTAATTTAATATTTATGGTTTTTATATGTCGAATAGGTGGAATTCCAATGGAATTTCATTACTAAGGAGTAATAGTTTAGGTTTTTAGATAATTCAGCTCCACTTCGGATCTACAGAAAATTTGGTAAATTCGCACAATTTTTTACTGAGTGAACTGCTTACAGAATCTAACTTTAAAAGTTGTGATGAAGGATGATAATTGTAAAAGATTGAACTATTGGGTTACTCACAAAAAAAATAATCGTAAGTATCATTTAGATATCTTCTAGAACGTAACAATATAAGAATAGGCGGGGGGGGGGGAGGGGGGGGGGGGCGGGGGGGGGGGGGAGCAAGATGCAAAGATAACTGATTCACTAAGGACTTTATAATTAAAATGATAATACTTAGCTCCACTTTGTTAAATTCAGAAGAAAACATTAGTTTACAAGGGTAACCAATTTGAAAATATCAGCAGAAGAAATTCTGTAAATTTGCCCAATTTCTTCCCTTCACTTGAAAGTTATACATTGACATAGAAAATCGTAACAAAATCATTACCGACCATTACGGTGATTACCTCTAGAATTTCTACACAAAGCATTGGCAACTGCATCGACAATCAAAGCTACCAATTTGAGTCAAAAACAGAGATTCAAGCGCACAACACTCCCCTAAAAGTTTCGATTTTTTCGGTTCACAAATGCTTTAAGTTAGAACTCAAAAGCTAAAATACAAAACAAAAGGATTAAAAAATTGAAGAGGTTGAATCTTACCCACATTCAGCCAAAAAACAAGGCAAGACAAAAACCGCCAGAATCCGAAACGACCGATTCAACTCCTTCACGTACCCACTCCTCACCCTCTTACTCTCCCCATCGATCTTATCAAGAAACAGCACCCTCCTCAGCCCGTACCTCCTCATCCACAGCCGACAAGCACAAGAAACGAGACGACGCCCCGCCGCCGTCATCGAGACTGAACCACGGCGTCGTAGGGCCGGCGCGCTGGTCGGAGACTATGAGGAGGACAAGTGGAATCAAGAGGGACGCAGACGGCGAGGAGGCAGAAGAGGGACCACAAGAGGAGAGCTACGGCACGAGATACCTTACGACTGGTCGATGAGAGACCACACGGATGGCAGGACCGAAGGCTCGGAGCTCGTCGGAGCAGTCGGGGAGGGATGAGCGTTTTGTTGGGAGGAGGGGATCGCCGGTGGCCATGATCGAAGAGATGAGCTAGGGTTTCGATTGGTTGATTTTTAAAAAGAATAGAACAGATTTTTTACTTTTGGGGTTTTTTTCGGTTCGTGAAGCCGCGAAGGGGAGAGGAGGTGATCGGGGGTGGGGTTAGTTTGGTAATTTGGAGTGAGGAGGGTGGAGTGAGGGAGAGGAGAAAGAATAACTAGTGCTGGAGGAGCTTTGGAGGGAAGAAAAGGACTAGGGGTGGGCAAAAACCGAAACAAACCGGTTCAACCGAAAAACCGCCCGAAAAAACGGATCGGTTAACCGAACCGAATTAAATGGATGAGAAGAAGTCTCTAAACCGTCCGAACCGAATTAAACCGGTTTGGATCCGGTTTGAACCCCTGAACCGCCCAAAAAAAACCGAACCGAATTCTTAAACAAAAAGTAGCTGCGAGCCTTGGGTGTGAAGAAAATTTATGGCTGAATGTTTAGCATTTAAGAATTGTGGGGTGGAGTTTATACTAACATATATTTGAGTACGCTGATATAGTTAAGTGAGATTTCCGTAAATCAATACAAGATGTTGAGGTTGAAGGATAAATTTAGTGTTTTGGTCAAATTTCAGTGATAACATGAATACAGCTTGCTGGTGCTGGATATCAAATTAACCTATAGTATAGGCTGTCAAGGATATAAGATAATTCTTGATGAGAAAAAGGCAGCTAAAAATTAACGAAAATCATCAAAAGGTGTGTGTGCCTGCCAAACATTGTTCTTTCTCTAAAAAAGGCTACATAATTACATGGTCCTCCTAGTGTATTAAGCTAGTTATATTCAGATCATACAATTTGATTAAGTGGCTTAGTACAGTTTTGATTGTTTCTTTTCAGTTTTGATTGCTTCTTTTCAGTTTTGGATATAACTAAAACTTACCCAGATTTTTGTGAAATGGAGTTAATTCGGTTCAAAACCGAAACCGAACCGAACCGAACCGAATTTCGGTTGGGCCGAATATTCGGATGAAGGGAAAAAAATCTGGATCTGGATGAGAGTTTTGAGAATCCGAAAAATTCGGATTGGATGCGGATTGGGCTTAAAACCGAACCGAACCGAATACGCCCAGCCCTAAAAAGGACACATGAGAACATTAAAGTTTTGATCTTTGTTCTCGGGAAAAATTCTTGAAGGACCCAAAATATGGGATTTACAGGGGGACAAGTGAGGTGTCATCTTCCTATTGGATAATAAACTGATCATCATTAATGATGGCCAGCTCATTATCCAATAGGAGAGAGACACCTCACTTGTCCCCCCTGTTGGTCTCATATTTTGGGTTCCTGTAGTAAAGCTCTTAGGATATGGATATGGATACTGAAATCAAAGTTTTATACGTTATGATTATAAATACGGGTATATAGCGAATATCTATATTCATATCTATCTGAAATATTCAAATATACGTTGGTCATATAGTTACAGCAGTTTATATCCTTAGATCAATATATTTGAGGCTAATCATGATGATCAAAAGATTTAATCTTAGTTTTTCCAGATATAACAAACATAGTAATGAGGATTCCGACCCTCTTTTCACTAAAAACTAGTAGTAGAGAGGTCACTGCTCTAATCACAATGTTGATTTATGTCGTTAATGATTGTGATTTGTCATGGAGCGAAAATTTGAAAATTAGTGTAACTCGTGAGTGTACAATGAATGTTGTGTTTAGAATAAATTACAACCGCCCACTATACAAATGAAAAATTATGATAAATGGTCGTGTATCTCCACCACTTCTTTGTAATAGAGAGGATCCAAATTCTATTAGCAAACTCTTTTGTATCATATGAACTATTTATTTAGCATGTACCACACACTCGCTAATTAACTCAGCATTATGACTCCATACTTGAAGAGGTAAGATGAAGGACCAAGCGAAATTGAGATGTTGCTAGAGAGCGTAAGCCAAATTAATCACCTACTATCCTTTTCCTTTCTTTAAAAATAAAAATAAAAAAGGATACCGATGGACAAGAAAATAGGAAAACACAAGTAGGCAATGACCGTGCTGACTGGATAAGTGACTAGCTATGAACGTAAACTTGTCTCTTTCCAGCGTCGAGACCGGTAATTGACGACAAAATCCACGTCGTAAAACCATGGGGTTGTATTAATTAGTCAAGCTTTGGGCTGTATTTGGTCGGATGAAAATGGACATAAGAGTCTAGGTTCGTCGGCCCAGGAAACTTGACAGTAGGTAAACTATTCAATGTTCTAGATTATCAGTCAGATGTTTCGGATAACAAAAATTGGCTTAATTGCACGTAAATACCTAAGTTTCCACCATGTTTTTATTATTTATTTTTATTTTTATTTTTTAGGAATTACAGTTTCCTCTATGTCGTACTTACACATTCTTACTTGCTTTTAACACTAGTATACCATAAAACTTTTATAACTTGCACATAAATATCCTAACGTTTTTAAAATTTACATACCCTCAAGTTTGCATAACTGAGGGTATTTAAATGCAAGGTTTTAAAAGTTTAAAATATTTAAAGTTTTGAAAACTATAGGATATATAAATACTGTAAAACTTGCATTTGAATACGCTTACATAATTAAGGGTATTTATTTAAATGCAAGTTTTTAAAAACTTTAAGCTACATGAGTGTTGCAAAAATAAGTGAGGCTAAACAAGTGCAAAATATAGGTGTTTAAGCACAATTATTAAGCCAAAAAAACAATACTTTGGCCTAACTAGACAAGAAATCAGCCTGAGTTAAAGCTGTTTCAGATGATACTGGGTACACAAATTTTCGATTTAAATAATTACACTTGATGCATAGGATTAACTTGACACATCAGCCTGGAGCAACTTGCAAATATTGAACAGATAGTGAATCACAGCACACGGAACAAGAAAGGTTCCAATCCTGCATCTCCAAACAATATATTTGGGAGAGAAAAAAAAAAGTTTATATAAATTTACAAATTAATATTTTCGTACAAGGGTACCCACATAAAAGGGGCTGAACCCAAATATAAACCTGGTAAAGCCATTTTACCCACACACAAAGGGACTATGAAAACGAATCTTGTATCCTCCATAAACACTCCTTTCTTAGGGGTGAATCTGTGAATATTGCCTTGACAAAATTCTCCACCTGCGTTAAAATAAAAATGAAATAGAACCAGACGTAAGAAATTTGCGGAGAAAGTGAGTTGTTTCGAATCATGTGTAAAATTGGAGTATGAATGTTCTCCTTGTTCCGTTTCTTTGGTTGAGTCTGTAAATACTTTTTCCATACTTTGACAATGAAAACTTTCTTACTCTGCAGCAGCCGTGCAAGACCCCTGCAGAGACTTTACAGTGCATGCCTAACTTGTAATTCACAATATATTGACTTTCCCAATTTAGCCACAATAAAACAGCCTCCAGATAGTTCTAATGTACATATAGAAATATCATCACAAGAAAGAGGAGCATACTCATAATATGAATTATGTTAAGGAGAATTGAAGGTTTAATGAGCATGTGAAGAATATTTCTACTTTAAGTGGATCAAACTCGGATTCAACGATCATAGATTTTCAGCATTGGAGGGCGAATGTAAAAGCAATAATTAGAACTTATAATCGCTAAGAAATAAAATATTTATCAGCAACAAGACTATTTTTTATTATGAAAAGGAAAATATTCCGCATGAATTTCATTTACTTGAATCAACCATTAGTTCCCAAAATAAATGAATCATACCTCAGAAGCCGTGAAACCGCAGCTATGCAACTCACCACTCTCCCAGGTTTCCGTGATAGATCTCAGAGGCATATCTAGCAAGTCTAACATGATAAAGGAAAAAACAATAAGTTACACGAAAAAAATAGTATGTTAATATCCCTTGACCCACAGATATGCTTTCTTTGAGAGAGAAACTTAAGCATATAAATTATACATGCCTGCTAGCTTGCGAATTTTGCGTAGAGATGGTATCTTCATGTCTAAATGATCCAATATTGACTTCAGTGAGCTATATTTTTCATCTCCATTGGCGATGAGGGATTCAGACAATGAGGATAGATTCTCTAATGTCATGTGAATCAATCTCTGGAGCTGAAAGCATAAAAAAAATTATTAATGATCAACATAGTCTCTCAGATAAAGAAACTAAGGGCTTAGTGAATACCTGCAAGGTTTCTTCAGCAGCCATGTCATCCAAAAGGAGCAAGTCTTTTGTAATTCTAGAGAAGACCGAATCTAAAAGTATGTACATAGTTTTCTTGTAAACTGATGCTGGCATGAGTGGCTCCCATATGATATGAACTTTCTCCAAAATGAAGACAACCTAGGGAACAGATTTTGATATTTAAGGTAACCGATATGTCATTTTTTGTTCGAAAATTGTAACAGAATTATATAGGCAGGAACAAAATGAAATGCACCCAAAAGAATGAAGCATGCTAACTAGGATATTAAAAGGATTATAAAGTATAAGACATTATAAAAAATGATGAGACAAATGCAGCAAATATAATTAATAGTCTAAACTTTTTTGTGTAGACAATTACGTTCAAACAATTGTCTGCAACAGTTTCTCATGAAAAGGCCACATTTGATAGCATGTCTCAAAACATGTAAGCTCACATGCACATGTGCACATCCGTGTGTGCGTGCGCCCATATGCATGTACTTATATTCTGTACAACGTATTTATGTATGTCCATGTACACACGTGTGTCTGTGTGTTCTATCCATCAATAAGCTCATTAAGCCTTATGGGATAAGTCCCCAGTGTGATTTTTTGTACAGGAATTCATACGCTTGATGCCAGGTTGACTAATGATAGTGGAACTTAGTTATTTCTTTGAAGTCCTCTCAGTATCCAAATTTCATCAAGCCCTAGGCAATTCCATTTGATGGGGAAAAGCTTAGAATAATGATGAAGATATTACATACGCTGTGGTCTAGTCCCTGGAGAAGCAATATATTAAATACTGACGTTTATGTTGCCTCTACGATTACAACCACAAAGTACTATTATAAGAAAGACAATTGCTGACGATTACAATTTAAACCTTGCTAAATTATGAAGATTGAGATGTGTAGCATATATTAGAGGGACACCTGTTCTATACTAAATTTTGCCGACTCGTACTGCTGAGGTTGATGTGTATTCTGAAACCCATCAGCACCATCTATAGCCTGAAATCATGAGGAATTAATAAAAGAAAGAACAAATTTCAAAGAAACAAAATGATACAACTGCGTCAAGGGGTCCAGGGTAATACCTCCATCAAACTATTGCCAACTAATTGAATTTGCTTTTGCAATATGCGCTCAGCCATTTGATAAAAGTTGGGTGCAATGTCAGCAAAAACCGCAAGCTTCTTTAAGCCACTTGGGAAATTGACGCGATACTGAAAAAAGAGAGAAACTATGTTCTCGTCAAAAATAATTGAGGAAAAGCTGACTAAAACAGACAAAAGAAACTTCAAAGCACAAAATCCAGATTAAAGAGTCACAATTATAATGTGAGGTATATAATTATCTTCCTCAGTGAAAAAGGGAGTCAATCAAGCCTCTTTCATTAATAAGTCATAAACGAACAATTCGAATTAGAGAAGCAATGTCTCTTAAACTAACAGAAGAAAATATGAACTCTTGGCAACAAAATAGATAAGTAACTTGTCAAAAGAGCTCGCTTGCAACCCTTGAATTCAAAATTCCCGTAATGGAGCATAGACCCCACAATTATGTTGATCCATCCTTCAAGTATGAAAAGTCCAGAACAAAAATTAAAACTGCTATTTTTATCATATCTAAACTCAAGTTCCTTTCACAAGTTCCGTCTGATCTCATCGAATCACAGCACCTCAAACTACAAAACCATATCAATAGCCAATGCAAATCATACTGTGTTGTAATGATGATCATGGCCGAAACAAGCACACACAAGTGGATAGAATTAAACCATCTTTCACAAAGACCATAAACCACTGTAGTACTTTAACAACAAACTAGAGACTTCTGTCACTAGCTAGTCAGATATTAGAAATTTTAATGTAATAATAAATTTTAATGGCTATGTTTAATCATCTCATTGCTGAATCTAACTATTGCTATTCAGAATCTCGGTCCTCCCTAAACATCTAAAGATACAAATTTGGTTGTCCACCTAAAGAAGGTTGAGCTTTTCGTCTTCTTTCAAACATCTCTGATGATTGATGAATAGCTTGCCAACACTGTACGTAGTGCACTTTGAAATATTTCTTGACCAGAATTCTACAGTGCACGGTGTACTAGAGATTAGATTTATGAAGTACTCACAGAAATTTAGTAAAGATGGAATATGACGCGAATCAATCAAAGTTTTGATGATTTTTTAAAGTAGTTATGAAGATTAACTGTGTTTTTTGTTCGACAATCTAGGCAAAATATAAGAAATATAAGTACTAGAATCAACCGACAGTCCATAACATTAAAATCTTGTGTACCATGGGCTAGCTGATGAGTCTAAATTAGATCATGGACAATAACCCTCGAAATTCAATCATCCAGTTTTGGTATAGGGGAAAGCTAGGAACTTTCAGATAACTCCTTGAAGGGGAGGCCATCCCCTGGATGAGATGCCAAATCCATCATGATCTCCACTGCAGAAAACATAAAACTAAAAATTGCAGGTTTGAAACCATTAGCACATGGATCAAGTACTCTCTAAATGAAGTGAATAAAATTACAAATGAGAAAATCTGGCTCACGAGACAGGAAAAACCATTTGAATTTTGGTTAAGGACTTCATGTGGCGTGGATATCCTAAGACGATCCTAGTCACCTTACCTTTTATAACAGATATCTCTCTCGGTATTCTTCTTGTTTCTAACTTTCTTTATCTCAACAGAATACATAGATGAGAGTAACCATAGTAGGATTTTTTTTTTTTGTACATTGATGAGAGCAACCATGGTAGGATTTCTTTATGCCTCAACTGGTAACTCAAACACCATGAGTAATGGTCCCTCAGGTCAATATTGCATTTGCAGTAATCATAGCGCCAAAGATATTAATCAAGAGGAAAAACACAAAACACTTCTACCTCCCCTGCACTCCTGAAGTATGCGATCCGCTCCAAATTGACAAGTCAAAGGTAAATCCCCTTACCTTTGAAAAGCTTTCCCACATCTCTTTTAGCACTTTATACTTAAAAATACCAATATGCCCTCTCCCTTTGCTCTATTACCTATAACCCTACAACCAAACATCGCCCGCCCACCCTCATCATTGCCCACCCACTCCCTCTCGCTCTAAACCTCTTCTCCCGCTTGACGCCACCTACAACCCTACCCCCCCCCCCAAATATATATATATATTATATATATATATATATATATATATATATATATATATAATATATATTATATATATATATATAATAATATTATATATATATATATATATATCCATCCTCACAGACCACCCACCAACTGACCCCGACTAGCCTATTTGTTCACCCTCTCCCCACCATCCGCTCATCCATCCTACCGAACTCTCCACCTGTCACCATAATATACCTAGTCACATATGTTAAGGTAGATAAAACCATTGAAAACTAGAGATTAGTAGTGAAAGGTAGCATTTCATGCTAAAAGGTAGACAAAAAATTGAAAGGTAGAATATTAGTGATACATAGTCACATATGTTAAGGTAGAGGAAACCTTGGAAGGTAGAAAATATTAGTGAAAGGTACTCATGTATACAAAAAGATAGATAAAATCAGTAAAAAGTAGATAACATTATTGAAAGATTGTCATATATGCTAAAATGGGGAAATTTTATTGAAAGGTATACAATAAAAATGAAAAATAGACATTATAAGTGAAAACTAAAATAAACGTTATCTCAATTTGCCTACCTCTTATGTAAATCTGTTTACATTTCAATTCATATCTCTCCATTATTCAGATCTGTCTGCATTTCAATTCATTTGTATATATTTTATTTAAATCTATCTAGTCTTCAATTAATTTGTTTACCTTTTTATTTTAATTTGTTTACACATAAAAAATGTAAGATACTCAAAAAGTGATGCGCAAATTAAAAGAAAATAGCAAATATAAAAAGTATAATTAAAATATTGGATTTCTAATGTTCTTTTCTGTCAAACTGGAAGGACATAGGTTATGTAAAATTACACCTTCTGGCATATATTCACTCGTAGTTGAGGATGAGATGTCAACTTCTTTTTTGTGAATATGTAAACAAATAGGTAAACTTACAAGACAGGCGCTCACCATGACCTCTGTGTGGCTCCAACAATAACTTGTGGACTATTCCAAGTGAGGATTATCTCAATATCACTCAGAATATCAAATTATTTACTTCATGCACTGATGCACCTAGTTAATAAATGTACATGTGCATTGGCATACACATGTAGCAATACACAAGCAATAGTGAGGCATGCATGTGTGCATTCAAGATTTTGATGTATGCATTAACATGGATAAGTGCCATGGATGTGAACAAATGATCGCCCACCACAAAGAAATACATGCTGAAATGCACTTAAAATTTTTGCAAATTTTAGAATGAAGACAAGTTTTCAGTGCACAGACATATAGAAAACAAATTAGGAAATATTGATTCACTGGTGGATAGTATTGGTAAACTATGCATGGCTGAATTTGTCTTAGTTTGCAGCATTAGCGCCAGATTGATAAAAAATATAGGCAAGTCTATTACAATTTCCCTGAATTTTTGAGCTGAAGATAATAGTTCATTGAAAGAAATACTAAATAACTTAAAACTTTTGAGTGCCTTCAAAACGCAAGTTAAATACCGATCCGATATCAAACTGTTAAGTGACCAGAATAATATGCAGCCCCATGGCCATGATTAAGGCTCAACTCATCTTAAAAAAGTAAGCTCAGCATAAATGACTGTCATATGAGTTTTCCTTAGCAACTGCCTTACCAGAATCATTTCCAAATTAGCATTTATACAAAACATCTGTACATATCTGGAGAGAAACCTCAAAATAAAATAGTTACGTCTACATATTACACAGATATAAAGCTAAGATAAAACAAATAGACGTTTAAGATTTATATAAAACCATTAAATACCTCAAAGGCAAGTCCAAGAACCTCCTGGGACAGGTAGTAGCAGTCATTGTGTACAATTATTGCCAGTTGGCTGATATTATTCAACTGCTTCTCTAGCTTGATGCATAAAAACAGAAAGAGCAACAGAAATCAGACTGATGATATATGTACTAAACAAACTAAACTGCATACACTAAAATGAGAATATCAGTTCACGATCAAGGAACTGGAACCCAATCTACAAGCTTAAAGTTCTTTACTCAACTGACTATCTAATCTAAGTAATATGAATAATAAAACTTTGACGGACTTGAATATGTTAAAAAAGAAATCAGAAAGCCCTAATGAATCCGTTCAACTAGATTATGAGATCTCCAGACAGTATAGGATGTCTTTTTTACTTTTCTATCCCTAGGAAAAACAATATGCAAGACAAGCTTTTATAAATAATTTATTCTTTTTCAATTTACTGTTTCTTTTCAAATCTTCTAAGCAACATTGCTCATCATCTTTTAACTACTGCAATTCTTTGCTTGATCTTGAGTTATATATAGGACTAGCAAAAGCTTGCTCACGGCCTAAAAGACATTTTAGATGCAAATGAAGTTCAAGTGCACAAAGTACAATCCAACTTGTACCACGAACATCCTTAAATTGAGTTCAAACAGTCCTATCTGGCTCTTTTCGTCGCCCAAACCTAGTGCATGAGCTTTCATCAACTTAAAAATGTAGTCAAAATATACCTTAAACGACATAAGTGGATGGAGCAAATTATACAAGGAAACTTACAAAAGAAACCCTCTGGTTACAAATAAGTTGAGTGATACCCCCCGCCCACCCACGCCCACACTTTCGTTATATCTTGTGAAACTATACATTTGATTAAGTATCCCAGTAAAACCCAAACTCTAACGAACACAATTAAAATCATATAAATCTAAATGGTTGATGTGATCTATTTCACCGTTGAGGAGTCTGGTGCTTACCATAAAACATTAAAGATAATGAAAACGTCAAATTAGTCATCTATAATTCCAAATGATAATTGAGAGGCCTAATAGGTATTCTAGCCAGTCAGCTAGAGTTGCTATTTGTAACTGTAGTGGCAAATAAAGAGGGTCGTCAATTTATCAATCAGGCTCCCTCATCCCCAAAAAAAAGAACAATCAGTCTTTCCAAAATCAAGAGTTGATGTCATGCAGACCCCTTGCTGTGGGTGATTGCAGCTGACAGAAGCACACATACAATCTGATAACATTGTAGTTGCTAAAGAGAAGTGCTAAAAGACCAATAATATTACCCTTTTCCATAAAATGCATTTCCATTTTTTAATTCATTTAAAGGAGAAATAAAAATTGTCAAGCAACATTATAACACATGGCAGATCGGTCACAAACCTTGATTGGTACAATAGCTTTGTACAATAGTAGGACATCTCTAGCAGCATGATAGAACTCTTTTGCCACTCTTGAAGAAGACAAACAAGCATCCTGCACTGATGGTTCATAATTCAAATTACGTCCAGCATAATATTTGCAACCAGTAAAAAGGCAAAAGAATGAAATGCAGATAACAAATTTATGATCATCATCACATACTATTCACATTTTTTTTAAAAAAAAAACTATCCTGATTGTTCTCAATACAACAACTTTAAGAATCAGCAAGAGGAAATCTACTGCCATTCTATGAGGTCGATACAACCATCTGAAGTACCATATACCCAATGTTTCAGCCCAAATTTGTTAAACCGATCAACACGATGAAAGTGCTATAGATTGAGTGCATCAGAGCTGTCAGTCAATCCGGATTCAGCCCCAAGCCAAGAGTAATATTTATAGTAGGAATTTGAGTCCGACCTTATGAGGGTTTGTTAGTATAATTTGAGAAAGATGGGAGATCATTTGATGTGACCCTCCTGTTGGATTAATCCTAACAAGAAAAAATAGAAGTGATTCACCATTTTAAATAGAGGGGACACGTCTTGATAATAAAATAAATAAAAAATAAAAACTTAAAACAATACCGCCCTCGAACTCTATAATAGGAAACCTTCCATTCTAAAACTAAAATTGTAGGCTCAGAGAAACCTTAAATCCTCATTTAGCTCATTGAGATAGAGGTCACCAAAACAGCAGAAAGAAGAAAAATCTTTCTCAATTATAATCATCATTCTAGTAAGATCCAATACAAAACATGAGGTGGGGAAGTGGAGGAGGGCTGCTGCAATCTCCCTTCTCCTCTCTGATCAACTATGTATCACTGTGACTGCTTTGACAAGTGTTTCAGAAACTTGAAAGTATTCGGAGGAAAGGACGATTAGCGAGTGCCATCATTTGCATTTGACTCAATTTACTTCTTGAAAATGTTACCCGATTCAATTACAAATGAGTCCCGTGAAATATGTGTGAACACAAAGGATGTATGAAAAGTTTTAATCTGACATTAGGCTTTTAAATATCGAACTATCATATAGTTCCGAGGTTTAAAACTTATAAAAACACCAATCTCTACATATATAAAACAAAAATAAATAAAGAAAACCTTCAAAACAGTATGAAATAGAGCTGTGTTTAGTATTGAAAAGTGCAGTTATCATTTCCTTCTTACACTGTGCAAACAACAATATGGGATCCAGTGTTCCCAAAATTGCATAAATAAGACAATTAATAACATACCTTAAGTGTTGCATGCACTAGTTCCATGAGCTGAGAAACTGCTTTAGATATAAAGCATCTCCCGTGCTGGAAAAGTAAATCAGCAGCATGCTCAGAGAAACCTTCAAGAAAGCTGGAATCCTTGGAAGAACCTTTTGCATCCTGTAAGATACATCAGTTTGTCATACAATAGTTTATGTAAGAAATAGTTGGAGAAAATATTTACATGTACTTACAGAAGAAAATAAGTGATCAAACTGCAGCAGTATCTTTCTAGATTTTGCCAAAATCTCTAGCTTCTTCCGGGAAGCAAAATGAACCTCGACATTGTGTGTGAAATGGCTCAACCTATCTTCCTTATTTTCTGTCATCGAAATAAATTTCATTTCCTTCAAAGAGGTCTCAAACTCAGCAGTATATCTTATAACATTTTGGAAATCCACCATCTTTGATGCATCATCAGGAACAGCCTAAAACCATAGTATTCAATAAATTTATCAGTATATACATATGCAAGATTGAATTTCCTCCCTTAAGAACAAAATATTTTTACTGGTTTGAGTCTGTCATTATGAAGAAAAAAGAAAAAATAATGCTTTGTCCCCGTTCACTTCAGGTTTCAGTAAGCAGAAATTTTTATTGAACATACTAAAAGCAATGCTGTGGAGAACCAAATACTTATCAAATTGAACAAAAATATCACCATTATCAAACTACAAACTCGTCACATTCATATATTTTGGGTGCTTATGTGTGTATGGACACAGAAATGGATAAGGAGAATGTTCGTAAGCTATAAGTTGATGGACAATATATACAGCATGTTTCTTGTCTTCTCTTCTTGCTCTTTTCTGGAGAATATGGTAGCTAATCTATGAAAGATCAGGCCTGAAATCCTAATGTAAGCATCGGCAAACTTCAAGGTATGTCTGTATGTTTTACCTGCTGTCTCCATAATTATAAACCCACCACACCATAATTCCAACCCATCAAGTCCATAGTAGTGTTACCTTCCAGTATACGTGTGTGAGCACATTCCTTCCCATAAATGCAGGTAATCACAAGCATAAAGCTTTTTTAATAATTCTGACAATTGATTTTCTCATTTCCAAACAAGAAATAATACAAATGTCAACCTTGAAATGTCAAATTATCATGTGGAGTTCATGCACTAAATGTTTAGCCAAATTATAAAGTAACTTACATAATATGATGATAAGAAACATCATGACTACGGGGATCATGTAAATAAATGATGGCGGCTTTTAAACTTCGACAACTTTATCCTATTTTTTAGTAACTGCTTTTTCCTTTCTTTATTTTGTTTGTTTCTGTGGAGGGGATTGGGGGGAGGAAGGTGACATAGTCTATCAGTTTACATCCATATAATTCCACTGTTTTAAATATCGGCCGATAATCGATATTATCGGCCGAGTTATCGGATTTGGGACCTCTCCGCTAGGATAAATTGGATTTTTAATCGGTTATCGTTTTTCTAGGTTTATCGGCGATTTATCGGCGTTATCGGCACTTATCGGCCGATAAGTAAGACTTTTTTATCGGGATTATCGGGATTATCGGCCAATTTGGACTAACATTATATTTTTTCAAGGCTATGATGCAAGTTTCGCTTTCTACAGTTAGTTAATGATTCTAAACATGATGATTTACTTTTTGGTATGTTTATATTTCATTAAGCATGATTAGATTACATTTTTTAATTGTTATATTATATATACACATCATTTAGTATATCACTCCGATAAATACTACTTATCCCCGATATATCCCCGATTTCCGCTATCCGATAAGGATTTTGGCCGTCCGATAAATCCCCGATAACCGATATTTAAAACCTTGTATAATTCAATTTTCAAACTTCACCTTGGACAGGAAAAAAGTGATGATCAGGTCAGACATTCTTGGCCAGGTCAACCTTCCAAAGCACTGCATCCATGCTCCATTCTCAACACAAACGAATTTGTAGATAAACTTTACAACTTCAGTGAGCCTTGCATAAATAATGGGACCATCTAGATGTTCCTGCAGAAAACCACAGAAATAACATGCGCAAGTAAGAGACTTGCAAACAGAAGCTATCATATTGTAAGAGATATAAATATGAATTTGATTATGAGCAACGCTGATAACTTCACACTAACAGAATGCAATTTTGTAGGACTAGAAATCTGATCCAACAGGAAGAATCCTTACATAATGGAGGTCAGACAAGTCAAGTCATGCTTTGTTCATTATTTATCATGAGGGGGTGGGGGAGATTGGATGAGGGATGCTAGATCTTAATTAGGTGAGAACCGCAATAAGTATATAAAACCTACAAAAAGACAAAGAGAGCAGTAAATTTTGTAGAGTGTGCAACAAGATTTTTCATAGTCATGATTTATTTTGAACAAGTGAAGAACTCACTCAACCTCGCATGGACAGAAGGTAAGAACACATTTCATGATGGAAAGATTTTTTTAATAATTGAAAACATACAACAAGGTTCAGCACAACCTTAATTCTTTGCATCTATTCCACAAGTAAACTTAACTCTAATATTCAGAGGGACCAAATATGCTAGTTGATGGAATAGCGGAAATGGATGACAACCAAGTAAAATAAATTCTGGATTGAAAGGAAGCCCTTTCAGGGTTTTGCAGGCCCAAGCTTACTGAAATATAACAAAAGCAGTGACATGTACACCGCAGGGCTACAATGATATCTGATAAAAATATGCTGGTAATGGACGATAAATAAAATGTCATATTTACTGTCAGAATCAGATGATGTAAAATCAAAATAGAAATAGAAGCAAAAGAAGAAAAGATCAGAGAGGCAGGAGACAGGAAACACTGAGATATAAGGATAAAAGCACAATGATACAGGACTGGAAACCCAGTCCTTAGCAACAAGAAGAACACAATAAATCTTGATACCTTACAGAACAAATTATCTGAAAGGCCCAATCGAGTAGATCAGACATATTTTCAGCAACATGAAAGAGCAAGAACTTTCCTTATAAAGAAGTATCTAAAGAAATAGTTTAATTTAATGAAACCTTTTCGTTCTAAGGTGTGTTGGTGAATTGCTTAACAGTTGAGTAGGAAAAAAGTTAACAGAAGGACATCATGTATGATTGGAATGTAATACGTACCTTGTATTCAGAGGAAGGAAGTAATTTTAGAATTGCCTCGTGCTTTACAACAGAACCTTCATCAAATTCTTCCACAAAGATGTCAACTGACACATTGCTTATTGCAGGATTAATGACGTGTTTGATCATTAAATCTGCTGTCTTTGCCAGTCCATAGTCCAGAACACCAACTATCTGTACAAGGAATGAAGGCATCACTTGAAATGGATATGAATATAAGCTGAAGAAAGTAACTGACGGAACCATAAAGTTGGCAGAGGTTGATTTTCCAGTACGAGGCAATGTTCAAATATTGCAGTCAAACCAGCAAATCACTCCACAGAAAAAAAATTAACCCACAGGTATTGCTGGGGTTGTTAAGAGCTAACTTACGGACATATGTTATCTCCCAACAAAACAAAACAAAAAAGCTTGGCNCCCCCCAACCCAACCAAAATCCCAAAAAATAATAAAAAAAAAGCAAGAATGAAAGACCTCAATAGTTAAAATGTGTGGAAGTACGAAAATATACCTCCATTGCCTCCAGTGTTGTATAAAGATCAATATCATTCGCACCAGCAGTTATTGGCTTTAACCTTACGATCACGCTGCCATTCTCCACCTCAAATTGCACAGCTTCTCCCATGTTTTTGGCAAGGATCCCTTGCAGCTATAAGGAACAAGCAACAGTTGTTATTTCAGATGAACCAAAAGTTAAAGGGTGTCGTGTTGTGTGGGTGTGTGTGTGTTGTGGGTGGGGGGGGGGGCTAAGAAGGGATCGAAAGCTAGCATGTATAATTTTGAGTTTGTCAGAAGAGGAAAAGAAAAAAAGAAATTAATGACATTGCAGGGTATTTACATAGAGGCATTAATAAGTTCCTAGAATCCCAAACTTATTGGAAAACTATGAGAAACCAAAATTGCAGAACCCTACACATACTACCAGTTGGTCGAAAATCTCTTACACTATACTTGGAAACTTCGTTCATTGATTTGGGGAATCATGCATGATCTCAAATAACCTCAATTTCACTGCTCCTAGGGGTTAACGAGGTGTATCTAGGTCATCTAAGGTCAAGTGCAGTGACATGATAATTAGGCCAATCCTTCACCAAAACACGTGTTCTACTAAGGCAAAGGAATGGTCATCCACTATGATACTGAGTGATAATTGGACCATATTTTGTCAAGTGGGTTTGCACTTTGCACAATAGTCTCATGAACCAATGTGCCTCTGTTTATGCACGATTGTTAGAGCAGAAAGCCAATGTCGAGAATTTCAAAGCAAAAAGTATACCACAATGTAGTAATTAATTATCTAATAAAAAAGATAGAATCTTTCAAGGTTCATGATAAAATTTCTCACTACAGCAATGCTAATTCTCTCAGAATTCGAAAATAAGCACAAATTAAAACCCTAATTTTACCTCATCGAAGCAATCCAAGCACTCCTTCCTCAGAAACCCAAACACGGCCGGCTCATTTTCCTCCTCCTCAGATTCCAGCCCTAACCCTAACCCTTCTTTCAACTCCTTCATCATAATCGCCGCCTCCTTCAACCTCCCATCCCCCAACCTCTCCTTAACTAACCCTAACCTCTCCAAAACCCCTCTGATCACCTCCACGACCCCCAGCGCCTCCCTCTTCTCCTGAAGCTCCCTCCTCCTCTCGCAGATCTCGCGCGCGAGGCCACGTATCTCGCCGTCGAGGGGGCGATCAGAGAGGAGGCGGAGGGCGTCCGCGAGGGAGTCGGAGAGGGAGGCGACGGAGGCGGAGGAGGAGGCGGAGAGGGAGAAGATGGAGGCGAAGTCGTCGCGGTGAGAGAGGACGTAGGATCTGACGCGGGATTTGATGGAGAGGGAGCTCGAGAGGAGGTCTCGGACGTCGATGGAGCCCATGAGGACGTCCATTGCTCTGATCGCTTCGCTTGATTTCTCTCCAAGCAAGAATTTTGGGGACGACGACGACGACGACGACGACGGGTCGGATTTGAGTTCTCGAATAGATTTTGGTTAGCTTAATTTATTTGAGGCCTTTACAAGGCCCATAGCCTTATTTTAATGCAGCCCAATACAATAGCTTTAACCTCAACTCGAACAGGACCCAGATAGCTTAACTTTAACGCGGCCCAATAGAAACCCAATGTAAATGAGCGGAAATTGTAACGCGGACCCATTCGAGCCCGGAGCTTCGTTTGAGCTCACGGCGCCATTCTTACCCGGACCCGCTCAAGCCCATGAAGTTTCTATGGGCCCTCCATTGTCGTTAGTTTTTCAAGTGGATCCCTCAATTTGTTAATTCTACTCTTGATGTTAATGACCGACTTCAAAATAACTTTAAGAATCGGGGAGTTCATAGCAATTTCAATGATTTGAAGGACTAACGTTGAAATAGCTGGAGGGATCTAATAGTAATAACTTTAAAGAATTGGTGGGCTAACTATAAAATATGAATTGTTTAAGGGACTAGTAAGTAGGAACGTGTCTAGTTCTTGTTGCATGCTAGATGTAACACATGTCACACAATTAACAAAAAGAGTACTAATTTCAGGAAATCCCTGCCCTTTGGAGGTTTTGAGGTACCCCATGAAAACTATTTGGTAATGTAAAACTTCTCTAAACGTACTTGATACCTACCTTGAATATTCTTCTCTAACATCTTTGATGTCCCAACTCACATTTCACTCTAATATTATATTCGTCATTAGTTGTACATCACATCTTAAGCATATGATTAGCATGTATATTAGATTTGATAGCTACCGAATAAGTGCATGCGTATTTGGTGTTTATGCTGGAGATGCACGTGAGGGAAAATATTCGATGCTGGCGGGTTTATTGTGGCTGGTGTTCTTTAATCCAAGATGTGTATGCATTGCATTTGTGTCTGCTGCAAAGAGTTATATGGTGCATTTAAGAAAGTAATAATTGAAATTAGTTTTTTTTTTAATTGAAGTTCTATCTGATGTTTAAAAAAAAATGAAATTGTGTAATTGATGTTCCCACATTTAAAGTTGGAACTATGCATACGCTTATCCGGTTAGGATCCACATAGTCACTAGGTGTTTGGTTGCATAATTTTATAGAAAAGTTTTCTCAAAATGTCTGAAAATGACAATTCTATAATTAAAAATTTTCTATAGATTTCCGTAAACTGTGTTTGGTTCAAAAAAAATTACAGAAATGTTTTCTGTAAAGTACAAAAAAATACTAAAATTTACAGAAATCAATTTCCTCTCAAAATAGGGGAAAATCATCTAGAAATCTGACACTACATTGACATTTTTCTATAAAGTTGACACTTTTCTATAAATTTTAGGGGATGTTTTGTTCAATTCCTATAAATTATAGGAAATCTTGTTATTTTCTATAAAGTTATGTGTCATTTTCTTGTTTTGAACAAAAAAATAAAGTAAATAAACAAGAAAATTGATACTTTTTTATTTCTCAAAACTTTTCCTATAATTTTTTTTAAGAAATACAAGAAAATCATATTTTGAATGGAAAACATTTCCTATAATTTATAAAAATTGAACCAAACACACCCTTTTTCTACATTATGTAAGAAACTTGAGGGGCAAAACCGCCCGAAGCTAAGCATTAATGTGTGAAAACAGCCAAACAATTTGTGGGAACAATTTTTAACCGTTGGTGGGACTCCCCGGCACTGCTGAAGCAAACAGCTCCGACAAAGGAAGTAGAGGTCTCTAGGGATTTCTCATAGGTTGTGAAAACAATTTTTTTTGTCATGCTGACATCATTTTGACATCGAAATTTGGATATAATAATCTCTGCCCGCAGTGTTAAAATCTCAAATCTAAATATCTCATCGCCTCATAAATTATTTGAATGAGTTTAAGTTGATGTTTAATCCACAAAAGGTTGGTAGCAAGATCAGTTGCACTGTAAAAACATATATTAATTTCAGCTTCTTTCTTCACGTCCCATCACATCTTGAAGGAAAATCTGAATGATGATACGTTTCGAAACACTTTTATAACAGAGGAAAAAGAAAAAGGAAATTTATTGGAAGAAAAAAATGACTCAAGACAAAAAAAAAAAAAAAACATGGTCGGTCGAAAGCCCAGGAGAAAATGAAATACATTCATAGCGCACAGAGCTTTATTCGCAGGGACCGGGGCATAAAAACCTTCAACAGATGACATAAATTGGAATAACATTACACATGCTCGTCTCAGTTGAAGCAGATTTGCAGATCACTACCAAAATAAAAGGTCAGCTACAGACTAGGCATCAAAGATTTCCTACATAAAGATATATAGCGTTACACACATGAAAAGAAAAGGATCTTCCATTTGACCATAGAAACCACAAGCATGAAACTGCAACGAATTCCTGTATGCATTTACGTCTTCAGGTAGCCTGCACGGGGGGGTGATGAGTTAAACGATAATTGCAAGAAGAAAGAATAAATGATACATAATAATCTTAGATTTGGGCATCAATCTGGGAAGGAAAAAAAAAAGAAACAAAATGATGAAAAGTTTGCGATAGTAGATTGAAAAGTGAGATCAATCGAAGGGGGGCCAAGTCTGGTATGATACTTCCAGCATAGATGAAAGGAAGTAGAAAATGTGTTAATGGCCCCCATTGCATCAAGGGGGAGCCACTGCATACAAGCAATAAAATAACTTTCATCCACAAATGCTGAAGGGACTATATGATTAGGGGAAGATACACAATGATATCATACACTTATCTAACAGATCCTATACTGTAGTTCCCAAAGCATATTTAAGTAATTAGATGATCTTTTTTAAAGAAAAATACGCAACAAATCTATATTTTTTTATAGAATGACTAACTAGTAGAATCTATTCGATAAAACAGTTATGAGATGAACGCTTATTAATTGTTAATGGTGTTGGTAAGAGAAAGAGAACTATAAATGACATTGTTATGGACATATTTTCTATTTGAGGTACTGCAACTTTTAGTGAGTGTATGTTCAAGAAGTGAGATTGATGATAGGTGCAGAGTCACTGTATTACTCAGGCCTAACCTGCCCGATAAGAGATCTTGTTAGTAGTTAAATATTATTCAAAAGAATTCAGGGAAGTGGAAGCTTAAATGCAATTCCCCAGTTGAAAAATACTTTGTTTGCTACAAAACCAAAGTTATAAGCATGTTAGCTAAATAATACAAGAAACGGAGTACAACCTTACATGAACTAAGTATACAACAAAGACGACAAAAAACTCTACACCTTGTGGGGTAAGATGCTTGAATCCTTTTCTATCAAATCTATTACGGTCCATATCTCTAATGATTTAGAAAGTGTCATATCTTTAACCCAGGTGTCACTTTAACCTGTAGCAAATCATAGAAGCCGCTTTAAACCAAACAATACCACCCCCATGACAGGCACACCCATCATAAGTCTTTGCTGCACATACGTGTGCTAAAACCATCTCAAACGGTTCTCCCTCATTTTCTGATGTTGAAGATACATCTCTCTAACTTGTTACAACTGTGTCTCTTAGTTGCATTCAGGCCTATAGCCATTAATCCATCTCAACTTCCCAAGAGTTTCTCAGCATCTTAACAAAGTTACAGTATAAAGCCCTCCGCTTCCTTTCCATGTCTGTATTTGTTTATTTGAATTCTTATACAGTGAGACAGCTTATCAAATATAGAAGGCAAAGAATTCTAAAAAGATATATACTTCATAGTGTGCATGGCCTCTAGACAAGCTTTCATACTTCTAAGTTCTAAACTATGCACAAATCAATATAGCATCTTGCAAGTACTCGTCACATAATCTAACAACTATCTTCACTATTCACATCAAAATATATCACTGTGCTAAAGCGCAAAACACAGAGATTAGAAAGCTCTAAAAGAATTTACATGTCAACCTAAATCAGCTCATCATCTCCCTAAATGTTGGGCATAAAACTTAGCTGAGGTACTTATGAATATGGGCTAGATCAAGTCGTGCAATAAACCCCTTAAGATCAGAAGAACAATGGCCTCGGTTAGCGAACCTTTCCTGGTCGTGCATTTTAAGATCATTCAACCACGAAGTAAACCTCGATGTTCCCCGAGATCAAGAAAGGTCCAAAATGAGGAGGTGCGCTTATGAATTGGTTTAGCCTTTTAGGAAGTGAATTCTGAATGAAATAAACCAGTAAAAGAAACTACCAACAAAACTTGACAAATTACTCCGACTACATGTCTAACAATTTTTCATTCTTATAATAGTATTAACACTCGAGTGTTAACTAACGAATAATGTACAACAATTAGGAGGTATATCATCATGATAATCCTGGTACATGACTCTTTACATATGACCCCCGTTACTTCAGCAGATATCTTGACAAAGAAGGATGTTCACAAAAGATGCAGACTGTTAAAACATTCTATCATTTGCATCAAACAGGTCCAGCTGACATAAAATGTGAAGGATACTAAGGCAATACTGGCTGTTGAAAGAGTATAGACAATCTGGTATGTCCAGTGATAACTAAAGGAAAGAGCAAATTACAGATCGGTGGTTAATCAAAGAAGATATTTAAAAAACTTCCTGGTCACTAGGAAAACTTGTTAAATCCCTCTATGAACTGGATTGAGCTTGCATAACAACATCAGAGTTTGACCAAATCCTTCTGAAACAGCTTCAGCAAACAACAGGAATTAACATCAACACCTTTATCACAAAATTTTGGATCAGCTAAATCAAAAAAAAAAAAAAAAAATCTACTCACTTCGTTAATGACTATTCCTCAAATAAGTTGAGCTCTATCGTATCCTTCTTAATTGTCTTCACCCAAGTTCTCTTAGACAACCTCTAATTCTCCTTACTCCCTTGATTATAAATGTATCAATAATCCTAGCAAGTTTGAGGAATGTCTTTACAAAATCTAATGGTGCACTGTAGATGTACTGATTCTTTACCATTTTTACATAGCATGTATTGGGGCAAATATAGGACTCTAGCATTTTCTCTCAAAAAGAAAGGCCTGCTGAAGTGTAATGGAATTATAAGAAAAGATTGTGTAGGTAAGGAAGAAGCAGTTAGGAGACTCTTGTGATCTAATAATAACAAAAGGACCAAAAATAATAAAGCATAGATAAAAAATAGGGACCACTCATCTGATAAACCACTTAATGTATCGATCCAAATCAACAGGACATGAAAGTAGCTTATCGACCTGTTGGGTCCTAGATCATCAAACCAAGAATGGAAATTTTATACCACTTCCTTTTGTTTAGCTTTGAAGCAAAAACCGAAATAACTATGAGACACAAAATATTTATTGCACTTCATTTTTTTACAACTGTCTAGTGCAAAACAAGCAAAAGATACTAACTAGTAGTGAAGATAGTTGCATAAGGCATTGATGAATCTCCTGCTTCTGCTACAGCACTGTCTCTAGAGTAACTGAAGAGAATAAGTCCCAGTGACTAAAAAAAAATTGCCTTTAATACTCCATAAGAAACACTTGTTGTTTGGCATGAATACAGCTTGGATTTATTACATCTCTTTTATCCTAAAAGGTTAAACAAACATGGCCATGTATCTTAAAATTAAGATAACTCCCAAATCACGTAACTGTTACAAATGACCTGGTCACAATAATAAACAGTTCAGCCATTTAAGTAAAAAGGGCTTAAGTCTTAACAAGCAGTTAGAACATCACCGAAAACAGTTTTGACCATTGATCTTTTGTTAACTTAATTAGATAATAAGGTCAGTTAAAGTAGAAGAAACTTGAAAAAGAAGATTAGTTATTTTCATGTGCCCTTAATCAAGGTTTTAAATGTCGGATGTCGGGTTCGTCGAACAACTAAAATTCATGTCGAATTGCGAAAATCAGGGATATGTTGGGGAACATATACTAAATATCGGATTGCCATATCGGATGGATTTCTACTCAATTTTGGTCACCAAGATGGAATGCACTTGTCTTGTATACCTTATCCTACTTGAGTTGAGTAGTCATCATCAAGGCACGAGTTGTTTTCCATTTCTTGAAGGGAAACATTAGAATATTATGCCAACAAATAAATAAAATACACATTGTCAAACTAGAATGTTCAAAGTGCCTTGCATAAAATTGACGTGAAGTGAAGTGCCTTGCATTAAATTAACATAAAGTGAAGTGCCTTGCATAAAATTGACATAAAGTGTTAAGACTTTGAATTGATTTCAAGCTATGGTTCAAACTTATTATTTACATCACGTTTTTATGAATACTCAATTTCAATTTGTAGAAACGAAGACGAACGAGAGATCGCGATGGGAAAGAGAGCAATATTTTTTTCTTTACCCTAATCTGTATTATATGCTATCGGGTTATTATGGGAACAAAAGGCTAAAAAAAATTAATCGGGTTTGGCTTTTGAGTACTAAACCCAGGCCCATATACTTATCAACTCAAAAAAATAATTAAAAAATCAGCTAATTTCTGATTTGTCAAGGCTCAAAATCGGCCAATATGTCCGCAATATCCCCTGACATGTTCGACATGGACCTCGAAAACGATATCCGACTTGAAATGACCATATTTGTGTCGCTCTAGCCTCTGATCCGACATGTCCGACATGTCAGCCGACATTTAAAACCATGCCCTTAATAAAGTAACAAAGCTAGCAAATTACCGGATTGGGAGATGGGTTGAAGTACAACTTCTATTTGATTGCATTGGCAACCAAATTTATATAAATGGAAAGTAAGTATATCCAATGGCTAAAATGAAGAAGTCACGCAGTTCCCAATTAGATGTGCATTGGGAAGCTCTTGATCTGACTAATCATGGATTATTAAGGTAAAAGAATAGAAATGAAACCTTGGAGGCTCATCTATCCCTGCTCATCTATATAGTGCATTGGCAGTGCTCTACGTGTGTTGTCATCAACATTTTAGAGAGCGCTAGGCGTTTCTAGGTTCCAGACCAAGCACCTCAACTAGGCGCCTAGGCGAGTGCTTAATCGACATTGTTTTAAATATCCCCGACATGGCCCGATATATCCCCCGATATATCCTTTTACAGGGCTTGCCGAATATCCCCGACATGGCCCGATATATCCCCCGATATATCCTTTTACAGGGCTTGCCGCAACCGATATGGTCTTTACCCGATATATCCTTTTACAGGGCTTGCCGCAACCGATATGGTCTTTAAATATCCTTTACCGTTTTTTAGCATCAAGAGGGGGATAGATTCTTTTTGAAAATTCAAAATCCTATCCTCGATGTTTACATATGATGAACCCATTCTGTTCCGCCATTATTATGCCTAAGCAAGCAATATGCCCCTTTTTAATGTGATGCAGTCTGTGTAAGCAACCGTGCTTCCCTAGGTGCTCTCAAGACCTACACGGGCGACCTGTGTACCGTTTAGGCCTAGGCAGGAGCCCAGACCGCTTTTTGAAACATTGGTTCTCATAGTCATGATTGTTCACATCAAACTATAAAATCCAAGACGAATGGATATGATCATAGAGCGAGGCGACATGCATGAATATGATCATAGAGCGAGGCGACATGCATGAATATGATCATAGAGCGAGGCGACATGCAGATATTACATGTAAAACCTTGATTTTACCTGTGCGGCAGCATCAATGGATGCAAGCATATATTCAAAAATAAATCAGAAATTAAAGGTGCCAGATGATGAGTCGGCAAAAAGACAACCTTTTTCCTACTGAGTCGAACCATTTGCAGGAGGAGGAGAATGGCTAACCACAAGAGGAGGCCTCGGTGCCCTATTCTCCTCCCCCTTCTGCTTCCGTGCATCGTACATCGCCTCCGTCTCCACCACAACCAATCTCTTAACCTAATCACCCCAACATAAAAGGCGAAATTTTAGGGATTTCAAGAAGAGGGGGGAAAACAATAGATCAGCTTTACTCACTTGATTGAGCATTCCGAGGAGAGACGGGGTGTTGCGATGGGCGACGGTGCGATGGCATCGTCTGAGGCGCATCGCCTCGAGAGTCCCGAGTCCCGGGGAGGCCGCGGACGAGGGTGATGTAGAGGCGAGGGCTCCACTCGATCGGAGCTAGGGTTTTGAACGCGTTGAAGGCGCTGCCGCTCATCGGGAAGCTCGGATATCGCCGACGACGAAGGTTGAGAGAGGGAGAGAGAGCGAGGGTTTTTCTTTTTTGCGTGCGGCGGTGGAGAGGGGTTGGCTTCGGGGAGTGAGATGTTCGAGGGTTTTGGTTGGGATAAAGGGTTCGGTCAAGTTCGGACGGGCTGGGTCTGCTGACGGATTCGGGTCCCGCTTGTTTTGGGAAAAATAATTCTTTGGAGGAGTTTAAATTTGATGGATTTATTTATACATTGGTCAGTAATGTTACCGATAATACATGTTAAAAGCTCTACTGATAAATTATTTTTAGGGTTATTTGCATATATCCTCGTTACATCGTGGGTATTTGCATCTATGCCCCTCAAATCTTCGGTATTTGCATACAATACCCCTCAAACCATCAACTTTAGGAAATAAACACCTCTAAAATCAACAAATCGTCAACTTTGTGATAAAAAATTTATTTGATAATTTTCATCTTGCAATTACAAATTAGCTCGTCACAATAATAATTAATTACTTTGACGAAAATTTTTCCAAAGTTTTAGGGGTAGTTTTGCAAATACTAAGATTTATAGGGTATTTTTATAATACACAAATTTAAGAGATGTATGTGCAAATAACCCTTATTATTATTGCATCCATGTCAAAATAATATATTATTATTGTACACATTTAGAAAAACTTTATGTTAAGATATTCTTCACTTGAACGATTTGTTAGGATTTGAGTTGGTTTCTACTTTCAGTTAATAATATCCTAGACTTTAGGAGGTGTTTCGATATGATCTAATCTCTAGGATTCTGTTTAGCTTTTGATTTCTTCTTGTTTTAGTTAAGCACGTAGCTGTGTGTGATCTTGTTTGTTAAAGGGTGATCTTGTTTGTTAAGGTCTTAGGCTATTTAAAGGCCTGACCTGTTGAATAATGAAGTAAGTAAGTTAATTCCAGTTGTGTTTCAGAGTTCCTTTCAATCTGGTATCAGAGCCCCCACTGGGCCTGAGAAAAAAGTGAGATAAGCAGCAGCTTAGAGAGAAACACAGAGAGATGAGTGAAGAGAAGGGATTGACTAAGATTCCTCATTTCAGTGGTCATTATGATCACTGGAGTGAACTCATGGAGAATTTGCTCCGAGCAAAAGGCTTGTGGAGCTTGGTGGAGAAAGGCTTCGAGGAGCCAAGAGCGGGGACCCTGTTGACAGATGCGCAGCAGGCACAACTTGATGATGCTAGGACCAAAGATCATCAGGTCAAGCATTACCTCTTTCAAGCCATCGACAGGATTGTCTTCGAGCAGATTTTAGATCGTCGTTCCGCCAAAACTGTTTGGGATTCTATAAAACAAAAGTTTGGTGGGAATGACAAGGTGAAGAAGTCTCACCTCCAGACACTCAGAAGAGAGTTCGAGGTACTGGAGATGAGGAATGAAGAAACCATCACGGAGTACTTTGCCAGAGTGATGGTTGTCTCCAACAAGATGAGAAGCAATGGTGAAGATATGACAGATGAAAAGATCGTGGAGAAGATCTTGAGAACCTTGGTAGAAAGGTTTATCCCTATTGTAGTTTCAATTGAAGAAGCAAAGGATACTTCGACTATGTCCATTGATGAACTGCAGAGCTCGTTGGTAGTACACGAGCAGAAATTCAAAAGGGTGAGCAGAGAAGATGTTGATCAGGCATTAAAAGTAGAAGATCGAACATTTGTAAGAGGAAAATATGCTATCAGAGGTAGGGGTTGAGGAAGGGACAAGGCAATGATGGAAGGTAGGGGTCGAGGAAGGGGCAAGGCAACGGTGGAATGCTTCAAGTGCCACAATCTTGGCCATTTTCAGTGGGAGTGTCCGAAATGGAACAAGGAGGCAAACTACGCTGAGTTGGATGAAGAAGATGATTTGTTGTTGATGTCGTATGTGGAATTGCACAAAGCTACACAACATGATGCTTGGTTCTTAGACTCTGGTTGCTCAAATCACATGTGCAATGACAAAGGTATGTTTTCAAGTCTGGATGAGAGTTTTAAACATTCAGTAAAGCTTGGGAATAACTCTAGGTTGAGTGTTGGTGGAAAGGGTGTTGTCAAGCTTATTTTTAATGGTATTACTTATACTATTGGAGAAGTATATTTTGTTCCTAATTTAAGAAATAATTTGTTGAGTATTGGTCAGTTACAAGAGAAAGGCTTGAAATTTTTGATTGAAAAGAATATTTGCAGTATTTATCATCCATACAGGGGCCTGATTGCTCAAAGCAGAATGAGTGTGAATCGTATGTTTATCTTGGTAACAGAAACTCAAGGTTCAAATGCTCAACCTGAAGAATGTATGCACACAAGCTCTCCTGATTTAGCCTATTTATGGCACCAGAGATATGGGCACTTGAGTCACAAAGGTCTAAGAACCTTGCAGTTTAAGAAGATGGTTCGTGGTCTACCACAATTTGCAAGCTCGACGACCACATGTACAGATTGTCTGAATGGGAAGCAACATAGAAGGGCCATGCCAAAACAAAGCAATTGGAGAGCAAGTCAAGTCCTGGAGCTGGTGCACACAGACATTTGTGGACCAATATCTCCCACATCCAACAGCGGCAAGAGGTATGTTTTGTGCTTTATTGATGATTTTAGTCGTAAGGCATGGGCATACCTCTTATGTGAAAAGTCAGATGCATTGTACCACTTTAAGAATTTCAAGCAAATGGTTGAGAAAGAAGCTGAAGTGTTCATCAAGTGCCTACGAACAGATAGGGGAGGTGAATTTACCTCTCATGAGTTTAACAACTTTTGTAAAGAGCAGGGAATTAAGAGGCAGCTCACTACAGCATACACGCCACAACAAAATGGCGTAGCGGAGAGAAGAAATCGAACTGTGATGAACATGGTTCGATCGATGTTGTCCGCCAAGAAAGTTCCAACAACTTTTTGGCCTGAAGCTGTATTATGGACTTTCTACGTCCTAAATCGGTGCCCTACCTTAGCAGTCAAGGATGTCACACCACAAGAGGCCTGGAGCGGAATAAAACCTTATGTGGATCATTTCAGAATTTGGGGATGCCTTGCTCATGTGCATATACCGAAAGAAACCAGAGGTAAGCTAGATAATAGAAGCTTTCAGTGTATCTTTTTTGGGTGTGAGTGAGGAATCCAAGGGGTATAAGTTGTTCGATCCTGATAAGAAAAGAGTAGTAGTTAGTAAAGATGTAGTGTTTGAAGAAGATAAGATGTGGAGCTGGGGTGATATGTATAAAGAACAAATTTCAGCAGAGTTAAGGTGGAGTGGTGATGATGAAGTTTTTGAAGGGTCTGGAAATAGAGTAGAAGGAGTGGATGATGTAGAGGGTGGTGATGGGGCTGTAGGTGAAAGAGAAGAAGGTGGGAACATGGATGAAGAGGGTGGTGATGGGGCTGTAGGTGAAAGAGAAGAAGGTGGGAATAGGGAAACACAAGACCCTAGTGCAGTTAGAAGTACAGTTGAAGGGAGGGAGAGAAGACCTCCTAGGTGGATGGGTGACTATTTTACAGGTGAAAGACTGAGTGAGGAGGATGAAGCTCACATGGTGCAAGACGTTTCTGTTGATGATCCTATTTACTTTGAAGATGCAGTGAAAGAAGAGAAGTGGCGCCAAGCTATGGAGGCAGAGATTCAGGCTATTGAGAAAAACCATACTTGGACTCTTACAGACTTACCAGAAGGAGCTAAGAGGATCGGAGTAAAGTGGGTCTACAAGACCAAACATGATGAGCAAGGAGCTGTGATCAAGCACAAGGCACGACTCGTGGCCAAGGGTTACTCACAAAAGGAGGGGATCGATTATAAAGAAGTATTTGCACCTGTAGCAAGACTTGACACTGTGAGAACTATAGTGGCATTAGCAGCTCAGAAAGATTGGAGAATCTACCAACTCGATGTCAAGTCTGCTTTCTTGCATGGAGAGTTAATTGAGAAAGTTTTCGTTGATCAGCCAAGAGGATATGAGAAGGAAGACAAGGAACACATGGTGTATCAACTACACAAGGCTTTATACGGTTTGAAACAAGCTCCTAGAGCTTGGTTCAGTCGTATAGAGTCTTATTTTGTCAAAGAAGGATTCTCAAGGTGTGAGAGTGAACAAACTTTGTTCACAAAGCATGGAAATGGAGGTAAACTTATCATCGTAAGTTTGTATGTAGATGGTTTGATTTACACAAGTAATGATGATGATATGATGCTTGAGTTTAAAGTTTCTATGATGAGAGAATTTGATATGAGTAATCTGGGAAGCATGAGCTATTTTCTTGGTATAGAAGTCTTGCAAAAGGAAGGAGGTATCTTCATTTGTCAAAAGAGATATGCACAGGAGGTTTTAAGAAGATTTGCAATGATGGAGAGCAATGAAGTTAAGAGTCCCATGGTGCCAGGTTTCAAAAGTAGCAAAGACAAAGGGGGAATTATGATTGATGAGACTTATTTCAAACAACTTGTTGGCAGTTTGATGTATCTAACAGCAACTAGGCCAGACCTCATGTTTGTGACCAGTTTGATAAGCAGGTTTATGTCAAGACCTACTGAACTTCACTTGCAGGCAGCAAAGAGGGTCCTTAGATACTTGAAAGGGACCATGAGCTATGGCATATACTATAAGAGGAGTGGAGATAATAAATTCAAGGCCTTTACAGATAGCGATTATGCTGGGGATGTGGAAGATAGGAAAAGCACAAGTGGTTATGTTTTCTTATTAAGTTCTGGAGCTATCTCATGGAGCTCAAAGAAACAACCAATTGTGACTTTATCAACAACTGAAGCTGAAATTGTCGCAGCAACTATGTGTGCGTGTCAAGGTTTATGGTTGAAGAAGATCTTGAAAGAGCTTGGACAAGAAGAGGCCTGCATTTACATCAACTGTGACAACAGTTCCACTATCAAACTCTCGAAGAATCCTGTGCTTCATGGTCGAAGCAAACATATCGATGTGAGATACCATTTTCTTAGAGATCTTGCTAATGAAGGTTCAATTGCTCTTGTTCATTGTGGAAGTACTAACCAGTTGGCAGACATCATGACAAAGGCTTTGAAACTGGATACTTTTCAAAGGCTCAGAAGCATGTTAGGAGTTTGTGATGTTACTGAAGTAAGCTAAAATTGCTTCTTGCATTTTAGTTTAAGGGAGGGTTTGTTAGGATTTGAGTTGGTTTCTACTTTCAGTTAATAATATCCTAGACTTTAGGAGGTGTTTCGATATGATCTAATCTCTAGGATTCTGTTTAGCTTTTGATTTCTTCTTGTTTTAGTTAAGCACGTAGCTGTGTGTGATCTTGTTTGTTAAAGGGTGATCTTGTTTGTTAAGGTCTTAGGCTATTTAAAGGCCTGACCTGTTGAATAATGAAGTAAGTAAGTTAATTCCAATTGTGTTTCAGAGTTCCTTTCACGATTTTTATACAAAGTGTCCATCGAAAGAATTCCTTTTCCTCGTTTTCTCTTCATTTGTAATGGAAAATCACTCTCAATGATGTGGGAAAATGCACAGGTCCTGTTAAAGTTGTTGGAAACTTATTCATGAAAAGGCAATTTTGCCTTTGTGAATAGTCCCACATCGGAAAATGAGATGAATAGTAAAGGCTATATAATGGTTCTCTCCTTATTGGGCTTTGAATAGTGTTTTGGGTTTTGTGGGCTTTGCGGTTCTACCATACATTTTCACTTTTAGAGTTTTTGGTTAAGAGCAGGTTTAATTAAGTTTCTGGTCTAGTAATATTGACAAAATCCTTTTTTATATCAGATTACATCTACCTAGACTAGTAAACTTAAATTGGACTTATGGCAATTCCTGATCATTCAAAAAGTGTCAAACCTGAGAAGTTCACCGGTGTTAACTATAAACGGTGGGCTAATCAGATGAAATACTGGCTTACTACCTTAGGTCTTTTATCTGCTATTGACACTTCTGAGTCATCTACTAGTGGTTCTCAACCTTTGACTCCTGATCCTGCTCAACCTGCTCCTTCCACTTCTGGTTCTGGTGCTAGCTCCTTTTCTAGCTCTATGAAACCAGAAGAAATCAACTATCATTGTTGTCATAGGATTCTTAGTGCACTTGCAGACAACCTTTATGACATATATTATGAGTTCAAAAGTGCAAAAGAACTATGGAATGCTCTTGAAGCAGAATATGGCTATGATGATGCCGGAATTCTGCGCTTCACCTCTTCCTCTTTCAATAAGTTCACAATGGTTGATGACAAGCCCATTAATGAACAAATTCATGAATTCCTAGATTTCCTCCGTCATCTCCAATCAAAAGGAAACACTTTTACTGACGATTATAAAGTTTCCTGTTTGATTGATAAACTTCCTCCCTCCTGGTCTAGATTTGCTGGAGATCTCCGACACAAGCAAGGAGATCTAACCTTAACTGAAGCCCTCAAGGCTATTCGTATTGAAGACCAGCATAGGCAAAATTCCAATACCAAGAATGAAACAAAAGCTAAAGTAAACTTGGTAGAGGATAAGCCTAAATCTAAGAATTTCAAACCCAAAGGGAAGAAATTCAAGAAAAATCAACAATCTTTCAACAAATCTTTCAACAAATCCTCCTTCAAACCAAATCCCAATTCTTCCAGCCATAAGTCTGATGAGAAGTTCTGCTTTGTCTGTGGTAGAACCAACCACATGGCTCACAACTGTTTCTTTCGGAAGAAGGAACCGGCCAAACCTGCCCCTAAAGGAAATGGATCCAACAAAGTTAATATGATTGAAATGAATCCAAC